GATTTATAGCACTTCTGAGAGGCTGGGCAGGTCTCCGTGATGGGGTTTAAGACACCGTCTGTGTCTTCTCTGTACAGGAACATGAGCATACTGTTCTACGTTCCACAAAACATAGACCTCCTGCTCTTGCTTCAGATCAAAACTTACATTGAATTATTAACAGTGAACATTCTGCAAATACAGCAGCTGATCACTCTGCTCCTCGCTGGGTCTCTGCTATTCCCGCAGTCCTCCTCACAGGAATAGAGGCATCCCTGGGGTCTAGGAAATGACCCCCCCCCTCTAGAAGCCTGCTCAATCCCCACCCCCAGAGGCTTCTGTTCCCCTCTAAGCACCCCCTTCCCACCCATAGAGGAGGCAACTTAATCGAAAGCAATTAGCAAAACTAATTGGCAAATACAATTAGCCTTGAGGCAAGACAAGGAGACCCTCCTCAGCTGCAAAAGCAGCACCAACCCCCACCCCAACCTGCTGTGCTGCTGGGGTTCACAAAGGCCGATTTCTCTGTCCAGGAATGCGGGTGTCGGGGAAGTAATTGGCAGCAGGCCATTCCCAGTTCCCTGTGGTTGCAGTTGAAGTGTGTCCCCCTCCACACCACCCAGGCGGTCAGCCAGGCAGTGGTTGCCAGGAGCACACATGGGGCAGCCACAATGACCCACCAAACAGGCCTCAGGGTCAAGTTCCAGAACCAGGAGGCAGCCCTTCAGTGGAGCTCACTGGGCAGCTGAGCGGTGAGTAACAGAAAAAGTGTCTGAAAGGGAAAGGGGGGACTCCATGGGTCAGGGGAGCTAACCACTCAAGTCTAGCCCCTGGCCTCATTATGGAAAGGGGGATGCATCCAAGGTACTTCCCTAAGAAGTCAGAGGTCAAGGTCAGAAGGGCGTTCAAGGCCCAGAATCAGAAAGGCAAGCAGCCACAGGAAGCCACTCACCAGCCAAGAATAAACAGGACAGAGCTGCAATGATCTCCTTTCAAAGTCAACACAAAGGTTTCCCAGGCCGACCTCCATCACCTGGGCCAGCCATGGAACAGTCAGACACACACACCCCGGGGCCAGCCCACGTGACAGACACATCTGCATAACACGCATCCACTATCATCCACTATCTGTGGCCAGCCCACACCAGAGACATACCCACACGCACACGCACACACGCACACCCGTACCCACCCCTTGGCAACCACAGCAGTCGGCTCCCACCCCCATCCATTCCCAGCCTCCTCCCTGCAGGCACTCACACAGTCACAGACATCACCCACACAGTGCCTGTGCCTTTCTGATATCTTGAACAACTGGTGACAGTTGTGGGTTCAAACAGGCACCAAGGATGAAATGCAGAAAATCACTAAGTTTCTCCAAAAGGGTTAGAGGGAAGAGAAGGAGGAGCTGCAGGGAGGCTGGGTGGAAGATGGGTCATCCCACACTGCAAGGACAACCTCCAACAGCTCCCCGGGCAACCTCCTCTAACAGCTCTTCCACACTCACAGGACCCACATGGGGTCCCTCAGGCAGGTTTAATGTGGCTGCAGAATAATAATACCCCACACTGAACAGAACTCTCTACTTTCCAAAGAGCTCTTCCATCCATTATCACCTCCTAAAGTAACACCAGACAGTGGAAAACGCTCCTCTCCTTGGCAAAATGACCACCCACCCTCACAAGGCTCAGAGATTTTCCTCCAAAATAACCTTTAATAGCTCAGCATATGTAATAGTTGTGTGAGCGTGCCTGTTTGTGTGTGAGTGCACGCAGAGCTTTATGTAGCAGAGTGGGATACAGTCAAACAAAAATGAGGTTGCCATGGCAACAGGCTCCGGCATCATCACAGCCTATTAACACAAGTGAGGAATGTGTTTGGCAGATGCTCGAGTGTTATTTATGGTATGGGTGTAGCAGAGGGACTTGTAACACGCAAAGAAGGAGAAAAAAAAACAACCCTGTGACGCTCCTACTGTACTCCACTGAGGAGACCACAGTGAGACAAGAGCACAGAAGGAGAGGCTGAGAGGCTGCAGATGGCGAGTAAGAGATGGAGAAGAGCAGGCAGGCAAGCAGAGGAGAGGTGGACAGAGAGCAACAGGGGGATGGAGGGGGAGGGGAGAGAGAGGAAGTGAGAGAGGAAGAGCAGAGGCGGGCAGGAGGACACCAGGGGAAGAGCGAGAGCCAGAGATGTCACAAAGAGAAGAAAAAACTTCATCCCCCAAAGAGGACTGCCCCACCTTGCCTCTCCATCCTCTCTAAGTAAAATCCATCAGAAGGCACCTGTTAAGAAACCAAATGTTTTCTCCTCCTAATTGGAGCAAAGGGCAGAGCTCCAAACATACGAGGGGCTGGGGAAGAATAAAGTACCAGGGTCCGAGGGGGCCAGCCTCGCAGGAAGAGAAGTGAAGAAATGCCAATAGTTTCCTGAGGGTCTACTGGGTGCCCACGACACTGCTGCCCCATGTCCCTGGACCAGGGTCCTCATCAAAGAAATGAGCGTGTAAGTCCCTTGGACTGAGGAATCCTGAATTACAGGGGTTTTCCCTCTTCTACCATCTCTTGTCTAGCACAGTACAGGGTACTTAGGAGGGATGGCATCTAACCCAAGCCATCCTCAACTGCCTGCCACTCTGGGGTAACCTGAGGCAGATGTTAACGCTGGACTGTCCCACTTATATTTTCCCACCGTTGCTCAAGAAATAAAAATTTTACATCAGACACAATCAAAAAGGTAAATCAAATACAAACAAAAGGATACAGTTTTCTCTGAAGCCAAAAAGAAATAGCAGTGGCATTCCCTTGTAGGGGACCATTCCTAACAAGCTCTGCTATGCTCAAGGGAGATCTTGAGAAGTTAAGTGTAAATCCGCCCAAAAGCCTACACCCAAGCAAAGGTCTAAAGGCCACAGTGGGTAAAACAAGCCGAGGGGGGGACTGGTAGAGATGGGGAGAAGAAAAGAGGAACTGGCCTGAGGAACTGGCAGGGGAAGCCAGGCACTGTTGCTGCAATGACATTTTCATGCTAACATGGAGCTGGAGTCCCTCAGGTTCAGCACTCTATCCCTGGGATCTGACTCCAATCTCTCGAAATCATACATGCAGGATCGCTACGGCTGTAATCAGACCCTGCCTCCCAGTCTGGTCTAAAGGATCCTGGAAATCTCTACCGCTCTGTGTGGATGACATGCCCTTCCCCCTGCAGAAAAGCTACACCCATCCAAGCCAGGAACAACCCCCAAAGATGCAACACCCATGTGACAGCTCGGGTCCTCAGGTCAAAGTAGCTGAAGCCTTTAAAGCACTAACAGTAATAGTTAATTTTTTTAAAACCATCATCTCTCAATAGGTTTCTCTCAAGTTCAAAGCTGATGTCTAAAGTTTTTCTTCTGATCCCAGATCAGAAAAACTTCAACTTAGCATTAAACAACCCCACCTACTCCACTCATTGGAACCCAACCAAACTGGCAACAGTTATTAAATCCCTCCTAAGTACCCTGCACTGTGCTAGAGGGTAGAAGAGGGAAAACCCATACAATTCAGGATTCCTGAGTCCAAGGGGCTCACATTGAATGAGAAGCAAAACCAACGGAGCCTCGAGAACAGTAAGTGCTCCCCTCTGTGGCTCTGACTCCATTGTTACCATGCAGAAGAGGGAGAGGCCAGTGCAGCTGGAATGGAAGAAGAGGGCCCCTCGCAGGTGAGGGCTGGGACAGAGGAGGGTGGAACAGTAAAGGAACCTCTCATTCTCTCAAAAAGGAACCTGAGGCCCAGAGAGCTTGCGGGTCCCCTCTTTTCCAGTCATGGAGCACTCTGGAAGTGCAGCTAGAGCAGAGAGCCCTGGAGTGCATGCCGGTGCTATTCCCTGGGTGAGAGTCAGGGGCACAGGAACACGCCTCGAGAAAGAGTTCGCCCTCAACAGGATCAAAGTCTGAGAATGGCATCAGAGTTGGGGAGGAGGAAGGCAATGACAATGGAATATAGTTAAGAGGTTCTCTAGAGACGGCAAACAGCCTCAGAGGGTTGCAGTGGGCACCGTGGTCAAGAGACTGCTAGCCTACAACACGGGCCCGCTTGACTCTCTCCCAGTTGAGCTAAATGCAAACCAGCAGGCTCAGCAGGGTCGGTGGATGAGGTCCATGGAGCCACAGACAAGGGACTGCTAAAAGGAGAAGGTGTGCCCATCGGAGGCACTGGTCTCACCCTGAAGGCAGGATGGCAAGTATTCCTCTCTCCCAAAACCCTTCAGTGCAGTCACCAGTTAACAAAGTTTTATTTTCTCCCAAGTCTCACTGTTCTAGGTTCACCCAACCAGTCCCAGCAGGGATAACACACACACACACACACACACACACACACACACACAACCCACCACAGGCAAGAACCAGGAACATCAATAAGAAGGGGTCACAATGTCCAACATTAGCTTTCTGCTCAGGCAAACAGGGGGCCTGCCACCACACATCTCAGAAGCACCTTCCTACCTTTGCTGGCAGCAGCTTTTTGGCTTGGGGCACTTTTGTAATCGAAACAACTTGTCAGCCCCAGTCTCAGACAACTGGCAAGGTTATCATTCCTCTTGCTTAAGACTGGGCAAAGGGTGCCCACGGTCTGCTCTCCCCAGCCCTTTACCCAGGACTCCTCAACAAACCAGCAGTAGCTCTAGGGAGGGGGAATCTGCTATAGGGTCCAGCCGCTTGTGTCAGGGGCCTTTCTACATATACAGGGACAGAAGCACAGGAAGAAAAGGGAACTGCTCCAAATCCTTCCTCATTCTCATCTCGACAATAATGGCTATGGTTTAGTGCGTGTTGCTGCGGCGCCAGGAACATTACATATAATGCAAGGCACTCCTTTCAAATGAAAATGCTGGGGCTGAGAGCGGGTTAAGGGGCTGGAAGACACCACACAGATGACACAGCCATGTCTCTGCCCCTTTTGCCACTTTAGAAGGGTGAGGGTGGGAGGTCTGGCCTGCTGGCCCCACAATGCAGTCCCTGCGGCCAGGTGGGCCCTTACCTGCTTGAGCAGGAACTGGTCCTGGGCGTTGGTGTGCAGGGCAATCGCCAAGTGGAGGGCAGACAGGAGTACCCCGCTGAGCACCGCGGCCCGCATGCGCACGGGCAGCAGCGTGTAGATGGTGTAGATGAAGAACACGGTCCACCAGATGCCCTCCGAGGCGCTGCGCGGCTGGGGCAGCAGCAGGCCCACCACCTGGACCACCAGCACCACCGCAATCAGCGCATAGCAGGCCAGACCCATGTGGTCCTGGTGGAAGGCGGCGCGGTTGCAGAGCACGGCCATCACGAGGATCGCGCCCACGGCGGCCGCCAGCACGGACAGGTAGGGCACCTGGAGCGGTGGCCGCGCCGCGTGGAAGGCCAACATGACGAGGCACACCAGCACCAGCACGGCCATGAGCATGGTGAGGCTGCTCTGGTTCAGACGGAAAAAGTAGCGCTGGTACAGCCGCTCCAGCTTGTCCGATGGGAACTTCTTGGAGCGGAATATCTGCAGCAGCGCCAGGCAGCAGGCGCCCAGCGACAGAACCGCGCCGGGGCCCGCGCCCGCGCCCGCCAAGCTGCCACCATCCCCGGGCCCTTCGTCGCCCTCGATGGTGCCGGCCTCCAGCTCGTCGGCCGCACGGCCCTTGCCCCGCCGCTCCTCCAGGCCCAGCTCCACCGAGCGGGGGCGCACCTCTGTCCCTCCCGCTGCGGCCGCGGAGGCCGCCGAGCCCGCCGAGCCGCCGCCGCCGCCGCAGGGGGCGCCCGGGTGCTGCCCCCTGCGGACCGCGCCCCGTGGCTGCCCGCGGCCTGCCCCGAGCCCAGTCGTCTGCCCCGCGCTCCTGCTAGGCGGACTTGAAGCGGAACCTGAGCCTCAAAGCCCCGATCAGGGGGTTCTCCCCCACTGCGGAAGACTCCTCCGTCCACTCTTGTCCGCGTAACTTGAAGTGGACATGCGTCTCTATGGCTGGCGAGGCTCCCCCCCCACAAG